AGTTTTAAAAAATACTTTGAACAAAATTGAGTAGACTATTGATTCCAAAATGCCCTCAGCATACTCATCATGATGTGCATAACTACTACTATATCCCTTTATTTACATATGATTTACTGAATCCTCAAGAACATGGAAAGCCAATGAGAAAACCAGGTCTCAACATCTTAGCATACCTGTGACTTGAAAGAGCAAAGATAGTCCTGAATCATTTTTAGGTTGCTTATTAGCTTATCTTTGTCCTGAAAGGAAAAACAAAAGCAGAAATATGTTAGAAAATTTAGGTTATTTAACTTATAAAAAAAATGATTTGATTTTGCAGGATCAGTTTGATCTACAAGGCAATTCGAGTGATGTAGCAAGGACTTTGAACACAGTTTGGTCGGCGATTAAGTACCTTCACCTATAGGTTGCACAAACAATACAAGCAACTTAAGGATGCAAGAGGGGAGGAGTACGCGAGAAGCCACCCACCTGCAAGTGTTACTCTTAATCAGTGGACATCTCTAATTGACAAGAAATGGAATAGTACAGAATTCATGGTAAAATGTTTTATATTAATTGTCAAAAATTAAGTTTCTTCTTACTAAAGTTAAGTTTTGTTGTTTTTATTGGTGTTTCAATCGTGTAGGAACAATCACTAACTAATGTGAATAATAGGATGCAAACGAAAACAAAACATAGATGTGGATCAAAATCAATCCCGGTCAGGGTGCATAGCTCGGTGCGTTCTACTATTTTATTTTATTGGATTAGTAGGCTTTGTTATTTAAATATTTGAAATAACATTCAAAAACAAATGAACCAGATAATTGCAAGTGGAAAAGTGCCCGAATTGGCAGAATTTTACAAGGCCATCCACTACAATTCGAACACGCATGAATGGATTTCGTCAGAGAGCCAAGCTAATTATGTATCTACAGGGCTATGCATATTAATTTTGATAAAATTATTTATTTTTCTTTGTAGGGTAGAACAACTAATAATTGTTCGATTTATTTTAAAGTAACAGGACAACATGATACAGACACAAGCAAAACATCTCTCGCAGACTGGTGCGATCCCTTTGAGCTCAGAGGAGTTGTCAGTCAAGGTGCTTAAGCCAAGGTTAGGTTATGTGAAAGGACTCGGCATGAGGCCTTCTTCTTCTATGAAGACTGTTGTTGCACCTGCTGAAAATAGTAACTATGTTCAACGCCTTGAAATGCAAATAGCACAGCAAAATGAACAAAGTGCAAGGTTTCAAAAGTCAGAGAAGCAACAAAGCAAGAAGATACAAAGTATCATAGAGTGTTTGAGGCATAAAGGTATCACGGGAAATTTTGAGAGTGGGAAAAGTTCAGATTCTGATGGACAAGCTTCTTGGTTAGTATATTATGTTTATATGTCAATTTAGTAGAAAATTTCTTCTTCAACTAGGGTAGAATAAAAAACTACTTTCGACAATTAGGCACAAGGTCCCGAGAAAATAATGAAATATGCATGTAAAGGCCTAAAAAACATCACAAACACCTTGAGACGGAGCACCATAAGATGTGTAAACTTACGGAACAAGCACTTGGCTTCCTATTGGAACAAGCATGTGGCTCCTAGTTTGAAAACTACTTTGAATTATGTCTTTTTCCACCACTTAAGGTTGAAAATAGGCCATTAAGGGACAAAATAATGAAATATGAACAAGAAGGCCCGGGAAACATCATGAACACCTCGACAGGAACCAATGTAAATTGTGAAAACTTATAGAACAAGCACGAGGTTCCCAATTTAAAAACTACTTTGAAATTTGTAAAGTTCCAACACTTACGCATGAAAATAAGCCATCGAGGAGCAAAATCGTTAAATAGGCACGAAAAAGTTTAGAAATTATCATGGACACTTTGGGAGGGATCAACATAAGTTGTGAAAACTTATAAAACAATCATAGGACTCTCGGTTGGAAAACATTTAGGCTTGAAAATAGACCATTAGGGAGTAAAATCTTGAAATAGTCATTAAAAGGCCGGGAAACATCATGAACACCTTGGGAGGACTAATGTAAGTTGTAAAAATTTACGGAACAAACACGGTAAATTTTGGTTTGAAATTCACTTCGAAATTTGTATTTTTTCTCTTCTAGGTTGCATGTTAACATATTTAGTGAATGGTTACTTTAACCTATTGTTGATGTTGTTGTTGTTTTTTGTTTTTTTAAATGGCAGATTGGAGATGAACGAATTTGGTAACCTGCAAAGCAAGAGTTTTTTGTTGATATTACTAGACACATATCCATCACAGTGTAGTTGTACTTTTTGTTGACATTACCAAACATGTATTTTGACTATGTTTGTTGTGGGTTATGATTATATTGTGATGGATCTTATCTTTTTGTTGATATTTTATTGAATAGATTAAAATGAGCAGGTTTTTGTTGATATTACTAGATGAACAAGCTTTTGTAATGATTTGTAATGGATATTATATTCAGCAGGTTATTAAAATGCACAAGTTATTTTGATCGTATTGTAGTTTTTTTATTTTACTAGAATAGATGTTATAGTTTGGATGTTATATATTAATTTCTTGATACTATCAGACATGTATTTTGTTTGTGTTGTTTTATGAAATAAACAGTTTAATTTTATATTGATTTGTACTAGATATTTTATTGAATAGATTATAAAAATACACAGGGATTGTTTATTGAAATATATATATATATATATATTGCAAATATATCTCTCCCCTTCCCCTAATTTTTAAAATTGATTTATTATTGGTGACGAAAAAACAATTGTCGTTAAAACTTTTAATCCCAACAAATAATTTTGTCACAGATGTTTACTATTTCATCACTAATTTGAAATATTTGTTATATGGACCTTCTAAAATGAAATACTCAAGGTTATGAGAAAAGAAAAGTAAATAAAATTGACAATAAAATAAATAGAAGAAGAAGAAGAAGAAGAAGATGAAGATGAAGAAGAAGAAGACATAAACAGGAGAAAAAAAATAAAAGGAAAACTAAGCAACTAATTTTGATATGACAATTCTGGATGCAAAGAAATTACCTTTAAAACGATCATCAGGATAAACAGGGACATCAAAGTAGATCAACCCCCTTCGGAAAAGGCCCTTCACAATTTCAGGATCAAAAAGTATCAATGAATTTGCTTCCTCCTTACAAACTTTATCAATTGTTGCCATTTCTTCTTCTGAGAGTTTCTACAAAAGAAGAGGGGGAAACAAAACCCCTCTAAAAATTAATCAAATAAAGATAAAAATGGAAGCTATACCGAAAAATGTGCATAGTTGAGGGCTTTATGTCTATGCTTCACTGCCAATAAATTTAAGGAAGCACTAACTAGTTCGTACTTCCAGTTCAGTATCATTAGGTGGACTGGACACCTTACCTTAAATTCTTCCAATGTAAAGTTGACAAGACAAACTCCCCACCATGGCTCAATCACAAAGTCCACAGGTTGTATAGGTAATAACTCTTTCGCGATTGACTTGTTCAGCTTCCACATAATTTTCTGGATGGCTCCAAAGAGTAAAAAATAGTCAGGAAACAATAAGTGCGATCCGTTTCTGAATATAACTTGCCATAAAATACCAGAATAGTATATTTTAAACAAATTTCCACATTCAGCAAATTTGAAGACCCCAAAATATTTTAGCAAGCCTACAGAATTACGAAGCGCAATACATACGGTTAACAAAAATAAAGCTCATGACAAAGAATTAAAACTTCTTATCCTCTAGATACTTATTATCCGTTGGAAAGAAAATAGATTGTCATCCAAAGATGAAAATATTCTGTCAGTCATGGTTTTACATCTCATCGTTGGTTTAATAAATAAAAAAAATGCATTATTAATACAAGATGATGAAGCGATGATGAAGCAGCATCCAAGATGTATGCAAAGGCCAAATGAGCAGACTACCAAAACCATCTCAGACCAATAGGTTTGGCTTTCAGCATTAACCAATTGAACTCACACTTTTTTTCTAAGTAAAACACTCAAAACTATTTTTCCTGCCCGTGTTTCTCCTTACTTTCATCTTTACAAACAGCCTTTTTGTCACTGGGAATGAACGAATAATAGTATTTCAAGACAAAGGAGTCTTCTGTGGAGGCAGTGGCAAAAGAAGTCATCTCTCAGGTTGTCCCTAGAAGTCTTTAATGAAAAACTGGCAGTCACAAGAATTGCTAGGTGCTTCTTTGGAGGACTCGCGATGAGATGAAAGGTAGTCAGATATCTCAAGCAATACACATTTCACTGTCAATATCTTCAACTCTCTACCAACTTGACTAATAAGTATTCCACAACATGAGAATACTACATACTAACAATAGTCACTAGATCATGGACATGTAACAAGTAAATATTTAATATATAAGGCTCCCCTTTCCCTATCTCTCTTTCTCATCTCCGTCTTTCATTCTCTATAATATATAAAACACTAAAATAGTAAACTTTAACATTCATTTTCACTCATTTATTCTCATCTTACATCTGAACTCTCATTAATTATAAATCATTATCCATAATATACTATATTGTGCCTAATTTTTTGTTAGTATTCCCATTTTAAAGTTACGGAGGGGGGCACTACAAACCAGCCCCAAACCCGGCCCGTTGCTATCACAATTGTAGGGCAGATGCTGGGGGTGATAGCATGTTGGTGTAGTATCAGCGGTTGTCGTGGCTTGATTTTTTGCTATGGTGGTGACGGTGGCCAACAGTTGTCAATGGTGGCTGGTGGAAAAAAAGGAAGGTAGAGGGGAGTGGCATTTTTCATCACAAAATCATAATGGTTGTTCAAAATTGGACCAAAGTAGGAAAAGTCAGGTGGTTCAAGGACCAAAGTGGGAGAATCTTTTCTTTACGAATAAAAGGGGTGAAAGCATAATTTACCCATAAAAAATGAATCCATATAATCATACTGATATAACGGCTCTTCTACAAATATCAGGTTGTAAATATGTGAAGATCGGTAATCATTTTTATACATCAAGAAAGACTAAAATTGATAGAGGTGTGTAGACAAATGTAGGTACTAGCAAGCAAGTTACCATATAAATGTTTTTAAACTGTACCTTAGATCTACACTTGTTCATGATATCAATAAATTCATTTCTTCCTATTCCTGTAAGTCGCAAAGCATCTGCAGCACTAAAATTCGGGATGCTGTCATAAGGTTGCTCTGCAGATAATAGAAAAGGATATGAATGATAAAACACCAATGAAATTTGAATAAAATATTGACACATCTTGCTAAAGTGAATATACAGCTATGCAGAGAACAAAACCAGGACAGGTGGAGTAACACCGAAACATAGATCCAATCACAGGAAATTTCATTTAAAGAGATAGTAACGAACTAAAAAAAATAATAATAATAATAATTCAAACTTCAATCACATTGTGTCAGATAGTCATTCCTGCACTAACCCTATTACATGTGGACAAGCAAACGGGCATAACCTACCAGCAATTGTCACATATTGTATGTGCTAGAGTACAAAGATTGTAGAAAATGTACAACCTCCTTGATCTCCTCTGATTTGAATAAGTAAATACTGACAAAAGTGTTAATTCATAAGGGCTGTTTGGGAAGTGAAATTTTAGCCTAATTTAGGCTAAAATTCACAAAAAGACAAAATAGGCTAAAATAGCCAATAAGACAAAATGTCATATCAAACTCATAATCATTTCACTTTTTCTCTCACAAATATCACATCCAACTACAAAAAAAAATCCAATCATCTTCCCAAACACAAAAATTTTAGCTTACTAAAATAGCTAAAAACTAAAATAGCCTACTAAAATAACAACTTCCCAAACACGCACATAGTGATATGAAAAGACCATCATAATTTCTGATTCAAGCACGATGATCACATATGTTTGTGAAAGCAAAAAGCACATGGCAGTACTTGGTTCAATAACCAAATTCCTGATAGTGTAGAGCAATACAACCCATACTGTGTTTCATATCCAAAAATGTGGTTTCCATCGGGGAAATTTAAAACCAACATACTAGTCACAAAGAAACAGCTTGAAGGGCACCTCAGAGACATGCCATCTGAATTAATGCACTACAACTTCTGAATACATAAGCTAAGCATAATATAACAAATGAAATGGCCTCACCTTTAGCGAAATCATATTAAATCTTATTATTACAAAAAAAAATAATAAGTACCATTTTTCATGACTTCAAAAATCATATCGCAGTAATATCTGAAAGGTGATACCCTCATTACACGGCAAACATACTCCGCAAGGTGATAAGGAAACAGCTGCAAACAAAAAAATTAACAAGTAAACTGCATGATTCCAAAGATAAAAGAAAAAAAGGAGCCACTGCTAACTGAACATCTAAGTCCTAGGGTACTGTTTCTATAAAATTTTTACTTCACCAATAAAAAGAGGAAGTGCTATAATAAAAAATATTGTTGTATCATGTAACAACTCCCATTTGATGGGACTTAAGGCAAGGCTTGGTTTGGTTTGGTTATCTTGTAACAACTGTGAAGTTGAAAAAAGGAAAAGAGGGAACTTTATGTGCAAGAATATGTATACTAGGATATATTTTGAACAGTAACAAGCATTCAAAATAGCGAAGGATGCATCTGAAAAGTGATAACATAGCATCCATTCAAACCATCCAGCCTCTCCATAACTGACATAGCATGGACCAAATTCATTGAAAAGTCCAAATATGAAGATTTATTTGGTGCTACATCCAATATGTACTTATTGATTCTCTCAGAGAAAGGCAATACATGGTACGTGCATGTTGGAACACTGAGGGGATGTTTGGCATCCCCTAAAAAAACTAAAAAGTTAAAAAGTCACTGAAAAAACAAAAAAGTTAACATCATTCCCATGTTTGGGCCGGAAAAAAAAACTAAATAAACAGAGGGCAAAATTACGAATTTGCCCTTTTGAATTCAACAGCCAAAAGTGCATGTCAGTGTACCTATCTTTACACATTTTACAAAATGCACTGACGTGGCTAATTGTAAGCCACGAATTCCCAAAGTCAACAAAATTGAACAATGCACTGAATGCACACAGTACGTGTTAGGAAGGGTACAAGAGTAATTTTGATATTTGATACAATATTTTATTACACATTTTTTCGTGAAAAGTCAAAAAATTATCCCAAATATACATCTTTTTTCTCTCTATTTTTTTAGCCAAAAAGTCAAAAAGTGTACTTATATAGATCATCCCAAACAACCCCGGAATCTCAAAGCTACACAAGCATGGAAAATGAGCACAAAACAGATATATTAATATTGTAGCAGTATGAACGACTTCTCTAAATACTTAAAAAGCAAACAGAATTTCCCTTATTACGCACCACTAAATTCTTATCCTGCACAAAGACAGCACGTTGAGCAAATAAAAGGGTAAGACCATAGGCAAACAATAGACTGCATTGCACCCTGGTCTATGTTACACGAACTCTTTTATTTATCCCAAAGTACTCATTATGTCTACCAAATATGATAAGGTTAAGGGTATTGGACAAGTGTCCGACATCCATACCCAATTTAGATACTTAGATCCTCTAATTTTTTTTAAGATAACTGTCATAATTAAGTTGGATTATTAATTAACATACACACATTGTTTAGGGAAAATAAATGGATAAGTAATCATTTGTTGCTGTGAACAGGATATAAGAAATAAAAAAAGGGAAAGGAAAAAGGTAGGTGAAATGTGTCCTTTCCAAATCCCTCCCCAAAAATTAGATTCTTTCTTCCATTGTTACATATTAGTATAATTTTTTTAAACATTCAAGTTCATTCATGCCTATTCACCTTGCTTGTTTCCACTTTTCAAAAAACACATTTCAGAAAATTCTACTTTCTTATTTTCCGTGTTTTTTTGTTTTTACTGAATTTTTTTAATATTTTAAGCAATTTTTTTACTTTTTAGACACACCTAACATAAATACACCTAAAAAGTAAAAAAATTGTAAAAAAAAATCTTTTCAAAATTCACTAAATACCAAAAATACAAAAAAAAATACAAGAATTCAGTACTTTTTTTGTATTTTTATGTATTTATTAATTTTTTAAAATATTTTTTCACAAATTTTTTATCTAAGTAAGGTGCATTTAAAAAAGTAAAAAAAAAATGTTTAAAATTTAAAAAATATTCACTAAAAACAAAAAAATACAAAAAACCAAAAAAGTCAATTTTCAAAAAACTTAATCCAGAAAACTCAAACCAAACACACTGAATGCTTTCATTTACATTTGAAGAATTTAGTAAGATTAGCCTTTTATGATATAATTCTCTTCAACATATTCATAATACAAACAAAATTGCCCAACTGTTCATAACAATGAGAGGGGTCAAAATGGAGTACTACGCTTGGTGACTGCTTCACAATATTGCAAAACACTATGCCATATATATTGCATCCCACCTAAACAGGGTTTTGGGCTGGATAAGATGCAGGCAAGATTACCCAACAAACATGTTAAGAAACTCATGGAATAAGTAATACCCCATAAACCAACTTGTCATGCACTTTGTGAAAAAGGTAATATGTACAGTTGAAACGAGTAAATAACCTTCGGTCCAATAATTGAATTAGTGAAATATATCACCCGTTCGTATATCAATTTACTTATTGCTAACCGTGATTCACTCGCATGAAACTGCTTGCCAAGGGCCTACGCACCCCTGGGATTAGTCGGCCTTTGATCTCGACACCCAGTGCCAATCAAATTGATTTTAATTGGGAGGATTCTAATTGGTTTTAAATACAATTAAGCCAAGCCACCAATTCTAGTAACCAAAATTGAAATCTAGACTATCTCATTTTAGCTAGAAAATGTAACATAACTAGCAGAAGAACAAGGTTTTTTAAACCAGAAATATCTAATATCAGAATCAACAAACAAAAACCAACCTTCTGTGCCATTCTTCCTTGGAATTCAGAACGGCTTGAAGCCGTTTCGGAAGACTCTCCCAAGGACATTCTTCCTTGATTGCTTTCAATATCAACTGGTCCTCAATCGTGTTCGGAATGTGCTGCATATTGTTACCAAAACACTACACTACTCCTGCAAACCAACACACGATCAAAAGCCATAAATTGATACCGAACCGATCTCAATCTCAACAGATCAACTAAAATTTTCAAAGCGATGGATCAGAGCAAAGTTGGAGTGAAATTTACTGAATCAACGAAACACAATCAATTGAAAGATAGGAGGTACGAAGCGGCGGTGTTTATCATACCTGAATTTCGGTGGCGATTGGAAGTGCAAATGCTGGTGGATTGAGCTAGGGTTTGGAGTTGGGAGATTTTTGGGTCCACATCTGGGAAATGAGATCTGGGTGCATGAAGTTGAAGAGGATGAATTTTATTTGCAGGCTTCAATGAATTACTATTATTATTATTATTATTATTATAACAATAGTCACTAGATCATGGACATGTAACAAGTAAATATTTAATATATAAGGCTCCCCTTTCCCTATCTCTCTTTCTCATCTCCGTCTTTCATTCTCTATAATATATAAAACACTAAAATAGTAAAGTTTAGCATTCATTTTCACTCATTTATTCTCATCTTACATCTGAACTCTCATTAATTATAAATCATTATCCATAATATACTATATTGTGCCTAATTTATGTTAGTATTCCCACTTTAAAGTTACGGAGAGGGGCACTACAAACCAGCCCCAAACCCGGCCCGTTGCTGTCGCAATTGTAGGGCAGAGGCGGGGGGTGATGGCATGGTGGTGTAGGATCAGCGGTTGTCGTGGCTTGATTTTTTGCCATGGTGGTGACGGTGGCCAACAGTTGTCAATGGTGGCTGGTGGAAAAAAAGGAAGGTAGAGGGGAGGGATCTTGGCCAAGAGGGCAGTGGTAAGGATGAGTTGATCTGTAGGGGGGTGGAGGAGAAGGAAGGGGAGGGAAGGGTAGGAGGCGGTGGTCTGTGGTGGGGTGCAGCCTTGTAGGAAAGGGGATGAGGGGAGGGGAGGGGAGGGGAGGGGAGGGAAAGGGATGGCCATAAAAAGAATGGTGGTATGTGGTGGCATGGAGGAGATTGGAAGTGGAGGGGAGGGGAGGGGCTAACCATGAGGGTTGTGGGGCAGAGTAAAGGAAAGGTGGAAGGAGAGGGGAAGGTTTGGTTGAGATGGGAGCTAGAGTCAGGGTAGGGGGAGAAAATGTTTAGGTGGTGTGGACCACATTTTAATGGGTGATATGTCATGATGTGAAGATGCTTAATGTAATTAGAAGATAACATTTTAGGGGGGTAGACAATTTTTTAGTATTTCCATGGATTACCCTTGATCTAGGTTGAATCAGGGTCGCCCGGTGTCCCGTGGCATTTTTCATCACAAAATCATAATGGTTGTTCAAAATTGGACCAAAGTAGGAAAAGTCAGGTGGTTCAAGGACCAAAGTGGGAGAATCTTTTCTTTACGAATAAAAGGGGTGAAAGCATAATTTACCCATAAAAAATGAATCCATATAATCATACTGATATAACGGCTCTTCTACAAATATCAGGTTGTAAATATGTGAAGATCGGTAATCATTTTTATACATCAAGAAAGACTAAAATTGATAGAGGTGTGTAGACAAATGTAGGTACTAGCAAGCAAGTTACCATATAAATGTTTTTAAACTGTACCTTAGATCTACACTTGTTCATGATATCAATAAATTCATTTCTTCCTATTCCTGTAAGTCGCAAAGCATCTGCAGCACTAAAATTCGGGATGCTGTCATAAGGTTGCTCTGCAGATAATAGAAAAGGATATGAATGATAAAACACCAATGAAATTTGAATAAAATATTGACACATCTTGCTAAAGTGAATATACAGCTATGCAGAGAACAAAACCAGGACAGGTGGAGTAACACCGAAACATAGATCCAATCACAGGAAATTTCATTTAAAGAGATAGTAACGAACTAAAAAAAATAATAATAATAATAATTCAAACTTCAATCACATTGTGTCAGATAGTCATTCCTGCACTAACCCTATTACATGTGGACAAGCAAACGGGCATAACCTACCAGCAATTGTCACATATTGTATGTGCTAGAGTACAAAGATTGTAGAAAATGTACAACCTCCTTGATCTCCTCTGATTTGAATAAGTAAATACTGACAAAAGTGTTAATTCATAAGGGCTGTTTGGGAAGTGAAATTTTAGCCTAATTTAGGCTAAAATTCACAAAAAGACAAAATAGGCTAAAATAGCCAATAAGACAAAATGTCATATCAAACTCATAATCATTTCACTTTTTCTCTCACAAATATCACATCCAACTACAAAAAAAAATCCAATCATCTTCCCAAACACAAAAATTTTAGCTTACTAAAATAGCTAAAAACTAAAATAGCCTACTAAAATAACAACTTCCCAAACACGCACATAGTGATATGAAAAGACCATCATAATTTCTGATTCAAGCACGATGATCACATATGTTTGTGAAAGCAAAAAGCACATGGCAGTACTTGGTTCAATAACCAAATTCCTGATAGTGTAGAGCAATACAACCCATACTGTGTTTCATATCCAAAAATGTGGTTTCCATCGGGGAAATTTAAAACCAACATACTAGTCACAAAGAAACAGCTTGAAGGGCACCTCAGAGACATGCCATCTGAATTAATGCACTACAACTTCTGAATACATAAGCTAAGCATAATATAACAAATGAAATGGCCTCACCTTTAGCGAAATCATATTAAATCTTATTATTACAAAAAAAAATAATAAGTACCATTTTTCATGACTTCAAAAATCATATCGCAGTAATATCTGAAAGGTGATACCCTCATTACACGGCAAACATACTCCGCAAGGTGATAAGGAAACAGCTGCAAACAAAAAAATTAACAAGTAAACTGCATGATTCCAAAGATAAAAGAAAAAAAGGAGCCACTGCTAACTGAACATCTAAGTCCTAGGGTACTGTTTCTATAAAATTTTTACTTCACCAATAAAAAGAGGAAGTGCTATAATAAAAAATATTGTTGTATCATGTAACAACTCCCATTTGATGGGACTTAAGGCAAGGCTTGGTTTGGTTTGGTTATCTTGTAACAACTGTGAAGTTGAAAAAAGGAAAAGAGGGAACTTTTTGTGCAAGAATGTGTATACTAGGATATATTTTGAACAGTAACAAGCATTCAAAATAGCCAAGGATGCATCTGAAAAGTGATAACATAGCATCCATTCAAACCATCCAGCCTCTCCATAACTGACATAGCATGGACCAAATTCATTGAAAAGTCCAAATATGAAGATTTATTTGGTGCTACATCCAACATGTACTTATTGATTCTCTCAGAGAAGTGAAAGGCAATACATGGTACATGCATGTTGGAACACTAAGGGGATGTTTGGCATCCCCTAAAAAAACTAAAAAGTTAAAAAGTCACTGAAAAAACAAAAATGTTAACATTATTCCCATGTTTGGGCGGGAAAAAAATACTAAATAAACAGAAGGCAAAATTACGAATTTGCCCTTTTGAATTCAACAGCCAAAAGTGCATGTCAGTGTAACTTCTTTACACATTTTACCAAATGCACTAACGTGGCTAATTGTAAGCCACGAATTCCCAAAGTCAACAAAATTGAACAATGCACTGAATGCACATAGTACGTGTTAGGAAGGGTACAAGAGTAATTTTGATATTTGATACAATATTTTATTACACATTTTTTCGTGAAAAATCAAAAAATTATCCCAAACATACATCTTTTTTCCCTCTACTTTTTTAGTCAAAAAGTTAAAAAGTGTACTTCTATAGATCATCCCAAACAACCCCTAAATCTCAAAGCTACACAAGCATGGAAAATGAGCACAAAACAGATATATTAATATTGTAGCAGTATGAACGACTTCTTTAAATACTTAAAAAGCAAACACAATTTCCCTTATTACGCACCACTAAATTCTTATCCTGCACAAAGACAGCACATTGAGCAAATAAAAGGGTAAGACCATAGGCAAACAACAGACTGCATTGCACTCTGGTCTATGATACATGGACTCTTTTATTTATCCCAAAGTACTCATCATGTCTACCAAATATGATACGGTTAAGGGTATTGGACAAGTGTCCGACATCCATACCCAATTTAGATACCTAGATCCTCTAATTTTTTTTAAGATAACTGTCATAATTAAGTTGGATTATTAATTAACATACACACATTGTTCAGGGAAAATAAATGGATAAGTAATCATTTGTTGCTGTGAACAGGATATAAGAAATAAAGAAAGGGAAAGGAAAAAGGTAGGTAAAATGTGTCCTTTCCAAATCCCTCCCCAAAAATTGGATTCTTTCTTCCATTGTTACATATTAGTATAATTTTTTTAAACATTCAAGTTCATTCATGCCTATTGAAAACTAATGCTTTCATTTACATTTGAAGAATTTAGTAAGATTAGCCTTTTATGATATAATTCTCTTCAACATATTCATAATACAAACAAAATTGCCCAACTGTTCATAACAATGAGAGGGGTCAAAATGGAGTACTACGCTTGGTGACTGCTTCACAATATTGCAAAACACTATGCCATATGTATTGCATCCCACCTGAACAGGGTTTTGGGCTGGATCAGATGCAGGCAAGATTACCCAACAAACATGTTAAGAAACTCATGGAATAAGTATAACCCCATAAACCAACTTGTCATGCACTTTGTGAAAAAGGTAATATGTACAGTTGAAACGAGTAAATAACCTTCGGTCCAATAATTGAATTAGTGAAATATATCACCCGTTCGTATATCAATTTACTTATTGCTAACCGTGATTCACTCGCGTGAAACTGTTTGCCAAGGGCCTATGCACCCCTGGGATTATTCGGCCTTTGATCTCGACACCCAGTGCCAATCAAATTGGTTTTAATTGGGAGGATTCTAATTGGTTTTAAATACAATTAAGCCAAGCCACCAATTCTAGTAACCAAAATTGAAATCTAGACTATCTCATTTTAGCTAGAAAATGTAACATAACTAGCAGAAGAACAAGGTTTTTTAAACCAGAAATATCTAATATCAGAATCAACAAACAAAAACCAACCTTCTGTGCCATTCTTCCTTGGAATTCAGAACGGCTTGAAGCCGTTTCGGAAGACTCTCCCAAGGACATTCTTCCTTGATTGCTTTCAATATCAACTGGTCCTCAATCGTGTTCGGAATGTGCTGCATATTGTTACCAAAACACTACACTACTCCTGCAAACCAACACACGATCAAAAGCCATAAATTGATACCGAACCGATCTCAATCTCAACAGATCAACTAAAATTTTCAAAGCGATGGATCAGAGCAAAGTTGGAGTGAAATTTACTGAATCAACGAAACACAATCAATTGAAAGATAGGAGGTACGAAGCGGCGGTGTTTATCATACCTGAATTTCGGTGGCGATTGGAAGTGCAAATGCTGGTGGATTGAGCTAGGGTTTGGAGTTGGGAGATTTTTGGGTCCACATCTGGGAAATGAGATCTGGGTGCATGAAGTTGAAGAGGATGAATTTTATTTGCAGGCTTCAATGAATTACTATTATTATTATTATTATTATTATTATTATTATTATTATTATTATTATTATTATTATTATTATTATTATTATTATTATTATTATTATTATTATTATTATTATTATTATTATTATTATTATTATTATTATTATTATTATTATTATTATTATTATTATTATTATTATTATTATTATTATTATTATTATTATTATTATTATTATTATTATTATTATTATTATTATTATTATTATTATTATTATTATTATTATTATTATTATTATTATTATTATTATTATTATTATTATTATTATTATTATTATTATTATTATTATTATTATTATTATTATTATTATTATTATTATTATTATTATTATTATTATTATTATTATTATTATTATTATTATTATTATTATTATTATTATTATTATTATTATTATTATTATTATTATTATTATTATTATTATTATTATTATTATTATTATTATTATTATTATTATTATTATTATTATTATTATTATTATTATTATTATTATTATTATTATTATTATTATTATTATTATTATTATTATTATTATTATTATTATTATTATTATTATTATTATTATTATTATTATTATTATTATTATTATTATTATTATTATTATTATTATTATTATTATTATTATTATTATTATTATTATTATTATTATTATTATTATTATTATTATTATTATTATTATTATTATTATTATTATTATTATTATTATTATTATTATTATTATTATTATTATTATTATTATTATTATTATTATTATTATTATTATTATTATTATTATTATTATTATTATTATTATTATTATTATTATTATTATTATTATTATTATTATTATTATTATTATTATTATTATTATTATTATTATTATTATTATTATTATTATTATTATTATTATTATTATTATTATTATTATTATTATTATTATTATTATTATTATTATTATTATTATTATTATTATTATTATTATTATTATTATTATTATTATTATTATTATTATTATTATTATTATTATTATTATTATTATTATTATTATTATTATTATTATTATTATTATTATTATTATTATTATTATTATTATTATTATTATTATTATTATTATTATTATTATTATTATTATTATTATTATTATTATTATTATTATTATTATTATTATTATTATTATTATTATTATTATTATTATTATTATTATTATTATTATTATTATTATTATTATTATTATTATTATTATTATTATTATTATTATTATTATTATTATTATTATTATTATTATTATTATTATTATTATTATTATTATTATTATTATTATTATTATTATTATTATTATTATTATTATTATTATTATTATTATTATTATTATTATTATTATTATTATTATTATTATTATTATTATTATTATTATTATTATTATTATTATTATTATTATTATTATTATTATTATTATTATTATTATTATTATTATTATTATTATTATTATTATTATTATTATTATTATTATTATTATTATTATTATTATTATTATTATTATTATTATTATTATTATTATTATTATTATTATTATTATTATTATTATTATTATTATTATTATTATTATTATTATTATTATTATTATTATTATTATTATTATTATTATTATTATTATTATTATTATTATTATTATTATTATTATTATTATTATTATTATTATTATTATTATTATTATTATTATTATTATTATTATTATTATTATTATTATTATTATTATTATTATTATTATTATTATTATTATTATTATTATTATTATTATTATTATTATTATTATTATTATTATTATTATTATTATTATTATTATTATTATTATTATTATTATTATTATTATTATTATTATTATTATTATTATTATTATTATTATTATTATTATTATTATTATTATTATTATTATTATTATTATTATTATTATTATTATTATTATTATTATTATTATTATTATTATTATTATTATTATTATTATTATTATTATTATTATTATTATTATTATTATTATTATTATTATTATTATTATTATTATTATTATTATTATTATTATTATTATTATTATTATTATTATTATTATTATTATTATTATTATTATTATTATTATTATTATTATTATTATTATTATTATTATTATTATTATTATTATTATTATTATTATTATTATTATTATTATTATTATTATTATTATTATTATTATTATTATTATTATTATTATTATTATTATTATTATTATTATTATTATTATTATTATTATTATTATTATTATTATTATTATTATTATTATTATTATTATTATTATTATTATTATTATTATTATTATTATTATTATTATTATTATTATTATTATTATTATTATTATTATTATTATTATTATTATTATTATTATTATTATTATTATTATTATTATTATTATTATTATTATTATTATTATTATTATTATTATTATTATTATTATTATTATTATTATTATTATTATTATTATTATTATTATTATTATTATTATTATTATTATTATTATTATTATTATTATTATTATTATTATTATTATTATTATTATTATTATTATTATTATTATTATTATTATTATTATTATTATTATTATTATTATTATTATTATTATTATTATTATTATTATTATTATTATTATTATTATTATTATTATTATTATTATTATTATTATTATTATTATTATTATTATTATTATTATTATTATTATTATTATTATTATTATTATTATTATTATTATTATTATTATTATTATTATTATTATTATTATTATTATTATTATTATTATTATTATTATTATTATTATTATTATTATTATTATTATTATTATTATTATTATTATTATTATTATTATTATTATTATTATTATTATTATTATTATTATTATTATTATTATTATTATTATTATTATTATTATTATTATTATTATTATTATTATTATTATTATTATTATTATTATTATTATTATTATTATTATTATTATTATTATTATTATTATTATTATTATTATTATTATTATTATTATTATTATTATTATTATTATTATTATTATTATTATTATTATTATTATTATTATTATTATTATTATTATTATTATTATTATTATTATTATTATTATTATTATTATTATTATTATTATTATTATTATTATTATTATTATTATTATTATTATTATTATTATTATTATTATTATTATTATTATTATTATTATTATTATTATTATTATTATTATTATTATTATTATTATTATTATTATTATTATTATTATTATTATTATTATTATTATTATTATTATTATTATTATTATTATTATTATTATTATTATTATTATTATTATTATTATTATTATTATTATTATTATTATTATTATTATTATTATTATTATTATTATTATTATTATTATTATTATTATTATTATTATTATTATTATTATTATTATTATTATTATTATTATTATTATTATTATTATTATTATTATTATTATTATTATTATTATTATTATTATTATTATTATTATTATTATTATTATTATTATTATTATTATTATTATTATTATTATTATTATTATTATTATTATTATTATTATTATTATTATTATTATTATTATTATTATTATTATTATTATTATTATTATTATTATTATTATTATTATTATTATTATTATTATTATTATTATTATTATTATTATTATTATTATTATTATTATTATTATTATTATTATTATTATTATTATTATTATTATTATTATTATTATTATTATTATTATTATTATTATTATTATTATTATTATTATTATTATTATTATTATTATTATTATTATTATTATTATTATTATTATTATTATTATTATTATTATTATTATTATTATTATTATTATTATTATTATTATTATTATTATTATTATTATTATTATTATTATTATTATTATTATTATTATTATTATTATTATTATTATTATTATTATTATTATTATTATTATTATTATTATTATTATTATTATTATTATTATTATTATTATTATTATTATTATTATTATTATTATTATTATTATTATTATTATTATTATTATTATTATTATTATTATTATTATTATTATTATTATTATTATTATTATTATTATTATTATTATTATTATTATTATTATTATTATTATTATTATTATTATTATTATTATTATTATTATTATTATTATTATTATTATTATTATTATTATTATTATTATTATTATTATTATTATTATTATTATTATTATTATTATTATTATTATTATTATTATTATTATTATTATTATTATTATTATTATTATTATTATTATTATTATTATTATTATTATTATTATTATTATTATTATTATTATTATTATTATTATTATTATTATTATTATTATTATTATTATTATTATTATTATTATTATTATTATTATTATTATTATTATTATTATTATTATTATTATTATTATTATTATTATTATTATTATTATTATTATTATTATTATTATTATTATTATTATTATTATTATTATTATTATTATTATTATTATTATTATTATTATTATTATTATTATTATTATTATTATTATTATTATTATTATTATTATTATTATTATTATTATTATTATTATTATTATTATTATTATTATTATTATTATTATTATTATTATTATTATTATTATTATTATTATTATTATTATTATTATTATTATTATTATTATTATTATTATTATTATTATTATTATTATTATTATTATTATTATTATTATTATTATTATTATTATTATTATTATTATTATTATTATTATTATTATTATTATTATTATTATTATTATTATTATTATTATTATTATTATTATTATTATTATTATTATTATTATTATTATTATTATTATTATTATTATTATTATTATTATTATTATTATTATTATTATTATTATTATTATTATTATTATTATTATTATTATTATTATTATTATTATTATTATTATTATTATTATTATTATTATTATTATTATTATTATTATTATTATTATTATTATTATTATTATTATTATTATTATTATTATTATTATTATTATTATTATTATTATTATTATTATTATTATTATTATTATTATTATTATTATTATTATTATTATTATTATTATTATTATTATTATTATTATTATTATTATTATTATTATTATTATTATTATTATTATTATTATTATTATTATTATTATTATTATTATTATTATTATTATTATTATTATTATTATTATTATTATTATTATTATTATTATTATTATTATTATTATTATTATTATTATTATTATTATTATTATTATTATTATTATTATTATTATTATTATTATTATTATTATTATTATTATTATTATTATTATTATTATTATTATTATTATTATTATTATTATTATTATTATTATTATTATTATTATTATTATTATTATTATTATTATTATTATTATTATTATTATTATTATTATTATTATTATTATTATTATTATTATTATTATTATTATTATTATTATTATTATTATTATTATTATTATTATTATTATTATTATTATTATTATTATTATTATTATTATTATTATTATTATTATTATTATTATTATTATTATTATTATTATTATTATTATTATTATTATTATTATTATTATTATTATTATTATTATTATTATTATTATTATTATTATTATTATTATTATTATTATTATTATTATTATTATTATTATTATTATTATTATTATTATTATTATTATTATTATTATTATTATTATTATTATTATTATTATTATTATTATTATTATTATTATTATTATTATTATTATTATTATTATTATTATTATTTCCACACTCGATAAAGGCAACCACAGGGAAGGGCATGGAGTTTTCTGTAGGCATGATGGAGTCATCATCCCCAGCCAACCTCAGATTGACATCGGCTGGGATTTCAAACTCTTGCCTAAAAAATTCCAGCTTAGAGGGGGTGTTTACCCGATGTTCCCACATACCCATGATGTCGGGATAACTAAAGGTATTGGGTTTCAATAAGAAGATGGTTCAAATAGGGTTATTGGGACCTCGGCAAAAAACCTAGGTTTCAGCTGATGAAGAAATTTGAAAGGGATGTTTCAGTTTTGCCCTAAAAATGTGGGTTCTACAAACAAATCCCAAAACTAAAGCTATGAAGATGAAGATCAAAGGCACAGATCTGGAAAAGACACAAAAAACAGAAAACAAATACGAAGTTTCAGAATCAAGAACAGAGATGGACTATCAAGAACATGAAGAATACAAAGGGTTGAAGGCCAAGAACAGTGGCAAGGCGTGCAAGAAGAACTATAAACAGTACATGGATTCAAGGCATAAGCAAAAAGCGAAATCAACGCATTCAGGTGTATGAATCGTAAATTAAAAGTTTCAATAGATGCAGTAAAGGCAACAAGTAATGAAGAATATCAACAGAATTGAAAACGAAAGGAACAGTAGCTTACCAGAAAATAGTGAAGCCGGTATGAAGATTGCCGAAGTCAGACGAAGGTTGCAGGAATAACAGAGTAACGAAAGCTCCACAGAAAGGAAGAACGAAAGGAAATTACAGAGCTTGGAGCTTGAGCAATGGCGGATTCGAAAGAAAGAGTTTAGAGAGAAAAAGCAAGAAAAATCAGATGCAGAAATGGAAAAGTGAAGAAAGGGGGAAAGTTTTTTGTCAAAAATGAAAAACGGCGGCAAAAAGTAATCAATACACCTAGAAGAACGTATGCGTCAGACGGCGCACGTGAGGGAGAGACGGCTTGCAAGCGCGTCATGAACACGGTCCAATGAGGTAAAGACGAGTGAATGAAACGGTTGAGTAAATAATGCATGACAGCTCATACACGTGAAAGAGTTCACTGGAATTCTTGTTCCCTGAAGAGAACATGTCGGCCTGAAATGAATGATATCGGCTGAGGAGTTCTTAAGCCGATATACAGGAGGAAGTACCGATATAGGTTCCATCATCTTAGAATGTCGAGGAAATAGAACCTAGGAGGCAGTTGTGGGGATATATTTCTGAGTACCAACACGTGGCAAGGTGACGCCGATGTGTCAGCCGAGGTGTCACGTGTCCTGGTCATTATGTCGAAGTTATTTCGGCGTTGCCGAGGTTATCTCCGAAGATATCGAAATCTGAGATAAACGGATAGGGGACAAGAGTCCTAGAATGAAGAGGAGACTTAGTCAAGATAAGGATAAAGCTCTTAGGGAGTTTTATCTTTATCTCTTGAAGAGTTCAAAGTAAGTACTGAATTGGAGTCTATAGAAGTCAGGCTTCTTGTGGGACTAGGATTAAGTAAACTATAAAAGAGAGGTACCCCCGTGGGTCTAAGGTACGCAATTTTATACTTTGAGCAGTTTTTAGCACTTGATTATCTTTGAGAGATATACTGACTTAATCGTCGGAGTGCCCCCGGGTGGAAGAGCCACCGCCGAAGCCTTTTCTTTCTGTTACAGGATTACTGAAGCCATCTATTCTGCCAGTGCTCTCTAGCTGATTACTAAACGGGCAGTGTGATCAGAAAATTACTCACACACTTTCATTAGTGTTCGTGTGTGTGTATGTGTATGTGTGCATCTCTGTGTAATGTGCATGCAAATCTTGTTGTAAAATGTAGTTTAATTGTCTTGTGTTCCTTGCATTCTGTAATCAGGTGCTAGAGATGGTAGAAGATCTAATTTTGTTGAAGTGGATCGGCGTTGCACATATAAACCATGGTTATCCTTCCACAATGAAAATGATTATATTTTTTCAACAATTCGTAGTGCCCCACAACAAGTCTCCTATAAGATTCATTTCCTACTGTTTCATTCTAGTGAAATGATCTCTCTTACCAGTCTTATAACTATTTGCATCTCTTTGAACTCTATATTTTCATTTCTACATTGTATTAAACCATTTAAAAATTGGCCTCGCTAAGACTATTTCATGTGCTCTAATACATCTAAATTGTTTATAGTGGTAGTTTTGAATCGCTTTAGTATTTGCTTTATGAATGATAAAGATTGACTTGTCAGATAGTCCTGATTATCTATAGTGAGGATAATTACTTGGTGATTGTGGCTGTAGTTGAATCAGTGTGATATTAGCTACAGGGAAAGTTTGATGTTGTTTGCTAAAGGTTTAGGACCAACAGCCCAAATGATTGCCAACCGAAAGTTACAAGGATGCTTGGAAGATGCTTCCAATTTTCAAACTCCAGCTTCAAACTCTTTCGGACAAGTTGCTACATGTCAAGCTCCTGCTGCATTTGCCTCTGCTCATAATGGTCCTAGGACTCTGGATACATTAATCCCAAATACGTCTTGGGACTTATTTGATCCCCTTCCTGGGTGTTGTTCAGCCCTTAAAACAGCAACTACTGACATAATTGATTTGACTGACGCTGATGATGGAGAAAAGGCTCATACGAGTGATAGGATGAGTGTTCGTAGTGCTTTGGGGGGAAAAGTTGTGACCAACCGCGAACATGATGGGAAGAAGACTTTTAGTATTAGTGACAGAGACAAGGTTCTTGAGAAACAAATCAGTAACACCCATCTGGGATTGAGTTCTTCCACTTCTGGAGCTGAAGTTTTGAATTCCTGCAAGTCTCTGGCTGCAACAGTGGACTCGAGCAAAACAGATAGTCAAGTGCAGCCATCGAATTTAGCTTCAGAGAATTCTTGCTCAAACAAGTTTGAATTCAAGTTGAGAAACAGTAACAGTTCGACATCATCTTCATGGATCTGGCATACCAGTGGGGTCTCAAGTTTGAGTCTGTCCAATGGCTCCATGGCAGCTGCAGTGGGACCAAAAGGTGAGAAGAGTAGCTCCTCCCTGCAGCAAGGGGGCCATACTGTGGAATCAAATGGTGTCGTGCCATTAGTCTCTCCGTTTGCTTTTGATCTACCTTTCTTGAAAGCACGGCTTAACCAAATAAATCATTTGGGGCAAGATGGTTTCTTGCAACCCAGATTCCAGCAAGTTTCTGTTAATGAGGGACCAATTCCATCATCATCATCCTTGGGCCAAGTAAGCAACAAGCGAAGGACTTTTGGACATACCCACCAAGCAGAACTGACCATTCAATCTTCTCAGTTGGCTATGGCTATTAATAATCAACAATATTCAGTACCATCGGACACTCCGGATACTAATTTGGCTTTACAGCTACAGCTTTAAGGACTTTCAGAGCAACTCGAAACTTTCCACAAGTACAAGCCGGAAAATGTTAAAACATTCTGAAAAATTTAATGTGATCATGTTACTTCTAGTTGGTGTTTAATTTTTATTTTTCATGAAAAGTTGTTGGATTGTCTTTGATGATTTCATGACAAGTAGTATCATAGCACTAATATGCGGCTTTAATGGCTAAGTGGTGGATTTGGGCTTGTTTAATTCACAAGTAATTAAAATAATCATGAATCCCATACATCATTGCTAGTGATTAGCTAAAAGTTAGCAAACACCAAACTATTATCTATTAGATAGAAATTTTGGAAGAAAAAAGGGGAAACATTGGGGCACAAAAAATCCCTATTATACTATTATGATACATTAAAGTGACAGAACATGTTATACACATATTGAGTTGGAATCTCTCTCCAACTTTGCAACTTTACAAATAGTTTAAAGATTATGTTTGGATTTATCAATTTGAAATTAAAGGATTTGTGGGTATTTAAATAGTTTAAAGATTATGTTTGGATTTATCAATTTGAAATTAAAGGATTTGTGGGTATTTACTTAAAGAATGGGTCAAATTTATATGTTTATTTCAAAATTGAATTAGATAGTTATTGAATTTAATATAATAAAATACTAGTCTTCTATCTTGAAGTACATCTCTCTTTAATTTTATCCACTAACCTCTCTCTCCCCGTCTCCCCCTCTCACCACTCACTTAGCAATAGCTAGCACTACAAGAAATTTCACTTGTGACGATTAAAATTTTAGTCGCCAAAAGCCTTATTTTTAGTTGCCAATAACTTTTGGCGATTAATATATTTGGTCGCCCGTTTGATCTCCAACAATTTGTCGGGGAAACAATTGGTGACTAAAATTTTTTTGGTAGCCAAAAGTGACTTATTGGCAACAAAGATTTAGTCGCCATATATTTTTTAAAAATAATTAAATATATATATTTTTTACTTCTTATGACTAAATTATTTACTAGCCAATTGAGTATGTATGTTTGGTGGCTAACTATTTGGTAGTCAAAAGTTTCACTTTTTTAGAATTAAAGACAAATTTAGTAGCAAAAAGTTTCTTTTTTACAATTGACGACTAAAAGTTTAGTAGCCAAAAGTTTCACTTTTTGACAATTGGCGACTAAAATTTTAGTAGTCAAAAGCTAACCTGTGATATTTGTTTAGTCACCAAAAGGTGTCATTTAGTTTTTATAATTTGTTCTGTAATATTTTTTGCGCCACCTGTAACCTGTGCATGTACAAAATTATTCATCCATTCATTCAATTCTCAACAATCTGTAGCATTCAATTTTCAACCATATACAAAACTTAACTATTAACCGTACATATCAAAGAACATAAGAATCCATAAATAAGAATCTAAATTAAAAAAAAAAAAATTAATAACAAAACATATCAGGTGTACATGTTTTCCATAAACAAAAATATAATGTAAATTTCGCCTATGCAAACATCATCAATCTGGCCCAAGAACATCACTGTATCCATGCCAACATTATCAATCTGTAACAAGAACATAATATCCGTTAATATTTTATTGAATAACATTGCATTAAAAAAAAAAAAAAAAAACATACAACTTGAAATTTATTATCTTTTTATATTTTACGATCAAAGAAATTTATTATCTTTTTATGGTTCAGAGGTTGTAATTAAAATTCCAATGTAATTAATCTTTTCAAATGAATTATTGGCTCAATTCAAATGTATAACCTTAAGGCATTTACACATTTATATGTTTCCTTTTCCTAATCAGAAATTGACAGATTGTAGTTTACTTAACAAGTGATTTGAGCTAATGGAAGTGAGAAATCAGATAGTTAATTTGTTCAAGATGAATAGCTGAACAAGTATTATAACTAATATAGCAAAACAAAATGAGGAAAAACCAGTGAAGTAACTAATCAAAAATGCAGAGCTTGATTTTTGTTTAAACAGAATATGGTTCAATTTATTTAACAAGTAATTTAGCTTATGGAGAAGGAAAAATTAGATGACTAACTCAATTGAATTAGATGAATAACACAACGAATATATCAATATAAAGAAAAATTAGTAAATGATTCCTTTTAGCTTAACAGATTGTTATTTCAAAGATTTCAACTAAAATAGGCAAATAATGATTTATGAGGATATAATAGACTATATGAGTTATATAGCAACAAATATACTAACTAATGAAAATGCAATGAATGAACCACAACAAATGGAGTAGACCTTCAGGTTAGAACAAACTGCTGTAATAGCTTTAATTCCTTATCAGAGATTTTTTGGCAGCCATTTTTATACAGATCATGAGAGAAGAAATTCCTCAATCTCACCAAATAATTTATGAGATAGATTTGAGTACTGGAATTTCTGAGGAATTTCATGCTTATTTGGAATTTCTCCTCATAAATTATGAGATAGATTGAGAAATTCCATATTCTGTATGGATCAATGAACAAGCACCAAATGAATTTCTCCTCAATCTATTTGGTGCTTGTTACAAATAATTCATAAATTTGGTGCTTGTTCATAAATTATTTGGTGCTTGTTACAAATATTCATAAATTATGAATTTCTCCTCATAAATTATGAAATTTCTCCTCATAAATTATTTGGAATTTCTTCTCTCATAGATTTGATTATTTGGTGCTTGTTCATTGATCCATCCAGCCATTTTTATCCAGTACTCATGTTCATGGAGATAGATTTGAGTACTGGATGGATCAATGAACAAGCACCAAATAATCTCCCCTATACATCAGTGTTTTTTTTCTCTTATTAATTGCATAATAATGACTAAACAACTGCAGTCCCAATCTTCAAAGATAAAGTTAATAGAAAAGATAATAGAGGAATAAATATTTGTAACAAGTTTTAGATATCATTAATATTCAAGTCCATGAACATGGTTAGAAAGACCATAAAACCTGCAAAATGATCTAGTAACAAAAAGTAGTAGATTTCTTTTTCTTTTTATTATAATTTCTGTGTAATAAGGTGCGAATGGATTTTTATCCATCTAATAATATTAAAACATAATTGAAAAGAATATTATATACACATATATACCCAGATATATGCTTTGCATATTGTTCATAAGGTATTACATCAAAATTAGATTCTAATATATGATGATGAACATGAGGACTTCAGCAACACAATCCTCCATATAGAATCTAAAGTCTAAACACCCAATATCACAAAAACCAAAAAAACAACAAAGAAAAAAAAAAGAAAAAGAAAAAGAAAGTGAAAAAAAAAAAACATCCACAAAGTACCTGATATGGATCAAAGCTGTCATTTTCAGACACCTTAAGAAAGGTTGCTAGGCAAAAAAGCTGTCGCAGGGGAAAAAAGCTGTTAATAGAAATTAAAAGTATGAAGCTGGAGGTGAGAAATATATCTATCGAAATGGAGAAGATTAGATGTAAATCAGAGATACAAAAATGAATCAAATGAAAGGTCAAGTGGCAACGTGAAATTGCATCAACCAACCTTCACTAATGCTGTTCCAAGATAAACAACAGCAGCTTTAACAGAGGTACTGCACACAAATACTTATTAATGCAAATGCAATTCATACAATGATAGCAGGTAAACTACCCAAGAATTAATGCACAAACACAAATTAATAGCCACAAAATAATTTATTTCACTGGATATAATACATGAGGAATATTTTAGAAGAAAAAGAAAAATCCATAATCAAAATTATAAGTACATAGAAGTTCCAGCATAGTTAAACATAGCAACAATTCATGTTAGCAAATAATCACCAATGTTAACAATTCATCTATATTTGAAACAAATCATAATACCTCTACATATAAGAGTTGACACATTGAGAGCTGAGGCCTATGTCTTATGAATTCAGACTTTCAGTGTTCGTTGTTGCTTCACTTGTTAGGCCATTAAAATACCTATCACCATGTACCAAACTTGGTAATTTGCTCTAAACATATGTAATAGTAAGAAACATGAAACCTCAATAACACCCAATACTGACAACGTTAACACTTACTCCGTTAACCTTTTCATTTGCTGTAGAATTTAATCATCACATATTGCCCTTTTTCGACTAAGTTTAAGGTGTTTTCGGCTCTAACTCCCAACCTATGCGTGCTAATTACATTTTGTCTGTTGCAACAGGTCCTATTTGTCACGAGAAGCTTGCCATGACATGAATACAGTGGTTCGGGGGCAATTTTGCATTTTCTCCCTCCGAACGCCCTTTTTCAACTAAGTTTAAAGCGTTTTCGGCTCTAACTCCTAACCTATGCATGCTAATTACATTCCGTCTGTTGCAACATGTCCTATTTGTCATGAGAAAGTTTGTCGTGACATGAATACAGTGGTTCGGGGGCTGTTTTGCGTTTTCGCCCTCTGAATGCCCTTTTTCGACTAATACTTCCACTTGATATCCTCAAGTTATGAATTTAGTTTTAAGATAATACTTCCTCTTGATGTATAATTAATTCAATTCAAATGTATTGGCTTTTCAGTCACTCGTAAATATGAATACTACTTTAAGATAATACTTTCCTTTGATGTGTCATTTCAATTTCTACACAGGGCAAGCCAACAAGGTTGCTTTAACACACACAAGACACGTATAAGAAAATTTTCGTCTTATATTTGTTATATATATATTGCCTTGTCCTATTTATGACAGCCCTTTTCCCCTCACATTTATTATCAGAAGTTACTCATGGAAAAAAGAATAGACACTAAGGTTGTGTTTGGCAATTGCTTTTTTAATAACTTTTTTGTTGATTTTTCTTGTCTTTAGTATTTGTTTATTAAAAAAAAAAATATTCAATTTTGCATCCTATTAGACTAGATGGAATTGAAAATTTTAAAAAAAATAAAATGAAAAAAGTCTAGTGAAGATGACAAAGCTTACAAAGTTGACCGTTTTTGTTTTTTGTTTTTTGCCTTTAGTAATTTTTTTTTATAGATGTTTCAATTTTTTGCCTTCTAAGA